GTTGCTTCATTAGAAGCGCAGACAGTTAAGTGAGCCGTTTTGGTTTATTTCATCATATTTCCAAGCCAAAAAATAGTAAATCGTTGGCTATATTGCAAATGATATAGATATTTTAATGATTAATGAATACTTTAAATGAAACAACACTTGTTAGGAGTTTAATGTGGACTATGGACACTTGTTTAATGTATGGGCCTATTATTAAATATAATACACTGGGCCTTTCTTAAGTTACAACTTACAACCCATTAAAAAGATAGAAACAAAGGAAATTGTGCCTCAGAAAATGCCTGAAGGCACCCCTCAAGCGTATGCCTTGACTTTTAAGGTGTATGCCTCACCTTGAGGGGCACCTCAAAAAAAACCTGTGAGCTCCTTTTTAAACCATGCATATCAGTAAAAGCTAAAAAGGCTCATGCTCAAACAAATAATACTAACAATAATACGAGTAATGTATAGTGTCCAATTAGCCATTAATGAAGTGTTAGGTCTTGGTGGCTGAACTTTTCATTTTCCCCATGGTCAAAAACCACTTGGTTCAACTATGTGACAGGATGCTTGCAAGAATGGAACAAGAAGACAGCAACACTGATGCCTAGCCTGTATCTATTGAATGATAGCACTTCTCATTTCATGTTTCCCATTTTTCTCTTGTTCCGGTGGAACAAAGTGAGATACAATTAAGGCAAATAGGAAGTGTTGAGGTTCAGATATAGGAGTGGGGGCAGAACCGGGGCAGAAAAGGATGTTTAACCTTTTTTATACCAGGTCAGTCTGACCAGAACTATTCACGCACAGAAACTCTAGAAATAGTCTGTATCCAAACGGCACTTCTCTAGCTCTCCCAGATAGACAAATGAAAAACATGCCGTATGTGAAATAGAGAAGAAGGAGTATAAGAGAGCTTGAATACCCACACTATTGAAGGGTGAGGACATATTAACTCTCATAATTGAACAAGAAAATACACGGGTGCCATAATATTCAGAAGGAGTATAATCAACTAATCAAGTACATAATGTTAAAAAATTCACACTAGCCTAACCTTAACACACAAAACAGCTCAGTAAAAAGAAAAATGTATACGCCAAGTGAAACTGGACATTTGACAAGCAAGGTATCACTGTTTCCTTGTCAGTGTAGTGCATGCACTCACATATTTTTTTTTCAAACCAAATACTTCGTATGAACTATCACATAGATTGTGTGTGTATGTGCTGAAATGCTGAATGTTTTTTATAAAAACAATATTTCTCTAGCAGCAAACACAAAATGAGCTAAAGGCTTCCAGCATAAATCTACAAAGCATGAAGACAGACCACATTTCCAAATGGTAAACTCAGCAAGCATAAGGTGAAAATTTAAACACCAAGCATTAGACCACCAAGAATCGAAAGCAAAATGTAAAAGAACAACTACTTTAAGTTCAGGGTCCAAACTAAAATGACCACATAGTTTACACATTTCTAATCAGAAAAACCAAATTGACCTGCTTAAGTTGACCGCGACGCTTGGATAAAAGAAGAATCTGATCATTCATAGTTTTCCAGGCGCGCGCCTCAAAGCAGAGCTGCAGTATTTCGGAGACAGCCTTACGAGTTCCAGCCACATCGCCGACCTGCCTCATCTGCTTCTCCACATTCAGCAGTGCCTCTATCTGCGACTCCAATTTCCCGTCTCCGTCCTGGACCAGGAAGCATTTCATTCCAGAAATTCAAGATCCAAAAACACATTACAACTACAAATGCACAAGGAAGACGAATGACGGAAAATCTCACCATGGTGGATTCTTCGCTACGAATTCAATTCCAAGGCAAGTGATTGAGCTTGAACGTGTGAAGCCCTATTTAGAAAGGGCAGCGATCTGATCGAGGGTTTTATTATGAACTGCCTTGAGTGGGGGGCAATTCTCTTTTCTTTTTACCTCTTTGCTTTTTCCCTTGTCGCTCAGGAGTCAGGTCCCAGCTCCTGTAACCCATGATTCAAATTCACAGTAAAGTTTAAAAAAAGTAATTTTTCGTATAATGTTACTTTCATAAACCATAACCATAATCACAATAATAAAAATGTGATTAAAATTGTTATTATTATATTCTGATAGTCATCATAATATAAAATTAAACATAATCATAGTAATTAAAAGTTATCATGACATTCATTTGATATATGAAACCACGTTATGTTTAAGTTCGATCTCATTTGTTTAAGGCTGATCAAGTTTAACCAGTCAATCTAATTTTTGTGAACCTGTTTGGTCGGACTTAAATTGATTAAATCTGTTAAAATGGGTGAAACTACATCCAAAACTACTGAAGTAGATGTATTTGATCAATTACGAGTAAATTATATTTAAAACCTATTTTATTAATAGAAATTAGAAAGGAAACAATATACGAAGTACTCCGTATAAAAATAGCTAAGACATTCATTTTCAGAATATTCAACTAGAAATGTATATGGGGTGTTTGGATTTGCTTCTGCTCCTTCAAGGAGCAGAAGCAGAAGCTGGAGTGTGGGTGAAATTTCAGAAGCACTTCTGGTGCTCTAATTTACTTTCAGAATCAGTTTTTTTAGAAGCTGGGAGGTACCAACTTCTGAAAACTGGTTCTAATTCTACTTATGCTTTAAAAAAGAAGCAGAAGCAGAAGCACTTCCAAAAGCCCCCTATGTCACCTCACTTATTTTGATTCAAAATTATCTCACTTATGGTCCTACGAGTTTTAAGTCAATTTCACATGTTTCTTATACTTGACTAAAATTTCTTAACCACTCCTGGTCCTTCCGTCCAAATTCCCGACGTTTCTTCAGCGATTTTAACCACCGGAAATATTGACAAAAGAATCATATATGAGTGGAAAACAATAGTTATTTATCAAAAGTGGTCAAAGACGTGAATTGAGTGTGAAATAATTGTGGTAATCATATGATCAAAAGTGAAATTTTGTTACACGGTCTAACACGTAAATTTGAAATATTACACTTTTGATAAAAAAAAAATGACCGGTAAACTGTAAACGTGTGTTACCAAATAGATCTATATCATTTATCTACATTTGAATAAAGTAGGAATTAAAGTAATTGTTTGTTGGACAACTGATAGAAAAGATGAAGGGGACATCAAATGAAACATATTAAGAAATACTCCGTAACTTTAAACATTTGAGCAAAATTTAAATCGCGAATAAAATGTGACTTGTTAAATTTTAGTGACTATAATTATATTCAAATCTTATATCATACTCCGTAGTAACTATAAAAGTTTAATCACAATAACTTTATTCACATTTATATCTATAAATTTTATGTTAGTACTCCATACTCCGCAATATTTTAGGAAAAATTTCACATATTAAACGATTTAAGGTCAAAGGAAATATTCAATGTGAAAATGAAGGACAAAATAATACCACATATTTATATAAAGAGAGTAGTGGAAAATCATTTGAAGTCAAAAGACTCAAAACAAGTAAAAATGTTGTCTTAGCTAATCACTTAATAAATGTGTAATTAATAACAATTAATTAACGATATATCAAAATCTCATTAATAGTTATAAGTTGAAATCATAACATTTGGGGGGGAGAAGAAAGAAAATAGTTATCAGTCATCGAAAATAGAATATTACCCGAAGTAAGACTAAAAGATTTGAAAATTCCAAAATAGGACTGCCATGTTTTTACTCCCAAAATAGGACTAATTATTGCAATGTTTTGGCAGTATCAGACTCCAAACATGGCAATATTTTCCAAACTTGACAGTAATTACTCCTATTTTGGGGATAAAATACATGACAGTCCTATTTTGGAATTTTCAAACTATTTTAGTCCTATTTCGGGAACTCTCTCGTAAAATATAAAAGGTGACAACTCCGGTACCTTTCTTAAATATGGGTACCGTACCTAACCTTCATTTGATTAGACCACATCACTTTATCATTTTTAATTTAGATTTAAATCATTCAACTGCTACATTCTCATTGGTCTATGTGGGCAAAGGTATGGTACATTATGGGTACCATAGAATCTACCAATATAAAATTGTGAGATGACTTCCCTTATACAAGTTGCAACCTTTTAGAGTTAGGGACTTGGAGGTGGGTATACTCGTGCCCTATAATGTACAAATGAAAATAAGGACCCCCACCCAATAGGGACTCGCAATTGATGAAGAAGATTGCACTTATCCGAGATGAAATACTCTCCAAATTTCATGATATCCCAAATGCTATACTCGGCCTAAGCGCTTTCCAAACCAATGGGAAACATGTATCCTCTAAAGTTTACAACTTGCTTAGAACTAGGGCCCCCACCCGCAGGTGGATGTCCTTTATATGGAAAGATTATATCCCTCCAAAGTTTTCCTTTATTACTTGGTTGGCATTCCGGAATAGGTTGGCTACGTGTGATAATCTTCACAGATTGGATGTAGTTAACACTTGTGTTTTGTGCAAGGGTGGACCGGAAACGGTTCCACACCTACACTTTGAATGTCCTTTTTCAAGGAAGGTTTGGAGAATGGTCAAGGAATGGATGGGCATGCCACGTCTTATGGGGACCCTTGCTAGCTCGGTTAAATGGATAAAGAAAGAAAGGAGTGGAGCAAATGTACAACAGTACAAGCCAAGGCATCTCGGATTGCATTTTGCCATTCTATTTACTGGATCTGGAGGGTTAGGAATGCTGCTATTTTTTATGGTGTGACCCCAAAGGAAGATGAAGTGTTTGCTAAGATTAAGTACATTGTGTACAAAGTTTTATATACCATCTATCCATATGATTTGGTTGTATTTTTGAAAACATTATGCCCATCACCCAGTTTTGCTTGTGATTGGCTTGGATGTAGTTGAGGTTGCTATTATGGCACCTTATGTTTTGCAGGTGATGGGTTATCCAAACTTTGGATAGCCTACATTTTTGCTCACCTTTTTGCTGTACAGACAAACACTTTTGGATGGTTCCTTATATATACTTACAGTTCATCCAAAAAATACAAATGAAAATAAAGAGAATTACAATAAATTGACATGGAGGAATAAATACTGAGGTACAATAATATCTCATAATACTTCTACCTTTTTACCCAAATAGAAGATATAATGGATTGTAAATGACAATTACAAATTCATCTTTTAGGTAGTGTTTCCTTTTGTTTAGTTGGTAAACACGTATGGATAACTCAATGCATTCAACAAATGCATCTTGTTCAAATATATTTTAACCGAATTAATATACTCCCGCCCAATGGGATCAAACTCAAGTTGATAAATTTCAGAGTCGGGGTACTTTTTCATAGAACAACAAGCTAGCTTCAGCATCAAGAACGTCTTTCTCAGATACAGCATGGACTTCGGAGTCAGACATGCAATACCACTGCTCGGGAGAAGATACAGCAGGACTGTCTTGCTTAGTATTAGCAGCTACTCTTCTATAGACAATGTAATGACCACTTCCAACTCTCCCATAGTGTTGCACCACTGAAACTAGACGGTAAATGTGTTTCTCTCTGTATGGCAGATAAGAACCTGAGGCAGAAGAAGATCCACTCTGCAGCAGTCAAGGATCCAAATACCACATGAGATTCAAATCATGACAAAAAAAACATGTTTTTATATTCAAGCAAAACTGGGATTTGATACATGACTATAAAGCTCTTTATCATTTGAATCTTGAAATGCAGCTTCTCTAAATTCACCACCATCTTTGGCATATGAAGAGGGTATTCCTGTTCTCTGCCTGATGCAATTCGTTAGACTAATCTGCTGCCCTCCTTCACATTCCTTTGTTCCCAGCTGAGTCTTTGTAAATGGAGACATATCCAATATCAACGGATAAGATATGTGGCCCTATGGGAAAAGCACTACCAACTTCAGGCAATTAGAAATCTCAGAGATTCCAAAGTTCCTATTTTTTAATATAAAATTAGGCATCACATCCTATTCGTAGAAATATGTGAAATTCCAAGAGTTGGAAGCGGATTCATACATGGTATTTTTACATCAAGATGATATTATTATGGCAAATCGGTTTAGATACCCCAAAATTTGGTGAGGTGTGAAGTCAACACCCCAAACTTACATGTTTGAAATGAATATCATGAACTTTTATATTATATGTGATCTCAACACTATGAACATAGATTATTTACTTCACAAATGTAAGTTTAGAATGCCAAGTTCTCACTCCCAAGATTTTCATGTATTTAAATTTTGCATGTGGCACTCTAAAGCTGCATCTGTGAAACTAAAAAGCCATGTACGTGATGCTAGAATCACCTTTAACATAAAGTTCATCATATTTATGTCACATATGCAAGTTTGGGGTTAATTGATTTCACACATCTCCAAAGTTTGGAGGATTTAAATTACTTAAATAGAGTTTCAATCGTGATTTTATTGATGAGGAGCTACGTATATATATACATGATTACAACAAAGTATTCAACTCTACATCAACTACGTAAAAGAAGCTAACCGCCTAACTATGTGATATACCTGAGTCAGTCAAATATTATCTACAACCTTTTTAATAAATAAATAGCTAAAGTGATAATACAGATAATAACAACCGAGTGTGCAGGTCCCTTGGTCCGGAATTACATCCGCATGCATGCATGCGTTATTACGCCCCCGCAGTTGAAGCGGGCGGTGGTTGAACGTTGAGACTGGATCGGAAATCTTGAAAAAGAATGTGGGGAAGGCCTTTGGTAAATATGTCCGCAAACTGATGTCGTGAAGGAACATGCAAAACTCGGATGTCCCCGCAAGCAACTTTTTCGCGAACAAAATGAATATCGATTTCAATGTGTTCAGTTCTTTGATGTTGTACCGGGTTTCCAGACATATAAACGGCACTAATATTGTCACAGTAGACAATAGATGCCTTTTGAAGTGGAGAATGAAGTTCCAGAAGAAGATTGTGTAACCAACAAGTTTCGGCAACAACATTAGCGACCCCGCGGTATTCCGCCTCGGCACTAGACCGAGAGATGGTGGACTGCCTTTTGGAAGACCATGACAATAGATTGTCGCCTAAGAACACACAATAGCCAGACGTTGAACGACCGGTGTCCGGGCAGCCACCCCAATCGGCATCGGTGTAGGCCGTGAGGGAGCTGACGGAGGATGGACGTAGTGTAATACCAAAATGTGCTGTACCGTGGATATACCGAATGATGCGCTTCAGGGCGTGGAGATGTGGAGCACGAGGATCATGCATGAACAAGCAAATTTGTTGAACGGCATAGGATATATCCGGTCGTGTGAAAGTAAGGTATTGAAGAGCACCGGCGAGACTCCGATAAAGAGAGGGATCATCCACGGGTGGGCCAGAATTAGCACTAAGTTTGGAAGTCGTATCTACTGGGGTGGCCACGGAATTGCATGAAGTCATCCCTGCTCGTGATATAATGTCTGCGGCGTAGGACTGTTGAGATAGGAAGAGCCCGTTGGAATCTCGTTTGACAGAGACGCCTAAAAAATAAGATAATGGGCCGAGATCATTCATGGCAAACTCAGCACTGAGATGAGACATGATGGAGCGTCGGAGGTGATCAGAACATGTTGTAAGTATGATATCATCAACGTACAATAAGATGTACGCGGTGTCCTTGTATTGATGGAAAATAAACAGGGAATGATCACACTTGCTATGTTGAAAACCAAGGGTGCCCACGTAAGAAGCAAAACGGTGATACCACACACGAGGAGCCTGCTTTAGACCGTATAAAGATTTGAGGAGACGGCATACATGATTAGGATGATTCACATCCCGGTACCCAGGCGGTTGATGCATGTAAACGGTTTCCTCCCATTGTCCGTGAAGAAAAGCGTTCTTGACGTCCAACTGATGTAACGGCCAAGAGTGAGAGATAGCCAAGCTGAGAACTGTGCGAATGGTGGCCGGTTTGACCACAGGGCTAAACGTTTCATCACAGTCAACCCCAACTTGTTGTGAGTTACCATTGACGACAAGGCGAGCTTTGTGGCGCTCAAGGGATCCATCTGACCTAAATTGGTGTTTAAAAAGCCACATGCAACGGATAATATTAGTATTATGGGGACGGGGAACCAACTCCCACGTCCTATTTTTAATAAGTGCACTAAATTCGTCATCCATGGCTGATTTCCAATGAGAATCATTGAGAGCAATTATGGGTGATTTAGACAAGGGAGAGGGAGTCTGCATGGCCGAGAGGTTAAGCAGGTGTTTTGGTTTGGAAATCCCTGCCGGGGCACGAGTTATCATTGGGTGACGGGCAGGTTGACTATGGGATGGTGGAGGTGAGTGACGTACTGGGACATGAGGTACTTGTGCGTGAGGCGGAGAGGATGGGGGACTGGGGGGTATTTGTGCGTGGGGCGGAGAGGAGGGTGGGCTGATGGGTTGACCCGTGGGCTGATGGGGGACGTGTGAAGGAATATGCATGGGCTCTGGGGATGGCCATGCAAACACGTCTGGTACCCGAGAAGCAATGTGTGGGAGGTCATCAATGTTTGTGGGTGGGGAGGAAGGTGTTTGAAATGGAAAGGTAGACTCATTAAACGTTACATGACGGGATATGATAAGTTTATGAGTAGCAAGATCCAAACATTTGTATCCTTTGTGATTAGTTGGGTATCCCAAAAAAACACACGGGGTGGAGCGGGCTAGGAGTTTGTTATGAGCGGGGTAAGGAGTGTGTGGATAGCAAAGGCATCCAAATACTCGAAGATGAGTGTAGGTAGGGGTTTTTTGGTATAGAAGGGTGGTAGGAGTGTAGTAGTGAATGGACTGGGCGGGAAGAATATTATATAAGTAGTTGGCCATTTGAATGGCGTGTGGCCAGAGTTTCAGAGGAAGATGGGCATGAAGGAGTGTTTGAGCCATATTATTTAGAGTGTGTATGGTCCGTTCTGCTTTGCCATTTTAGGGGGAGGTATATGGGCAAGAAAAACGGAAATGAATGTCATGATCATCTCCAAATTTTCGAAAAACTGAGTTAGTAAATTCAGTACCATTTTCACACTGAAATACTTTTATATGGCGTTCGAACTGAGTCTGTATGTAATTGTAGAATTTAACAAATACAGAAAACGTCTCCGATTTGTGGTGAAGTGGATAAACCCATAAGAATTTGGAGTAAAAAATAAGACTAATAACGATGGCCTGTAGAACTTAAAACAGGAGATGTCCATAAATCACTGTGTATCAAGTCAAATGGTTGAAATGTGACAGACAATGATGATGGAAAAGGTAATTTAACATGTTTCCCTAATTGACACGAATTACAAACAGACGATGGTAATTTATTACAGGGGATAGTATTATTGACTCTAAGAAAATTAAAAACTGGATCCCCTGGGTGACCAAGCCGATTGTGCCAGATTTCGGCCGGTAACATAAGCATAGCGGAAGGTGATTTGGGGCGTGATGCAGATAATGGCAGGACGGGGTATAAATGACTGGAACTGTTACACCTCAGAACTGGTGCCCCCGAGTGGAGATCCTTCACAGAAAAACCAAACGGGTCAAATTCAACGGATACATTATTATCAGAAGTGAATTGACGCACAGAAACAAGATTTTTAATTAACTGAGGTGCATGAAGAACATTATTTAAATGTAAAGAGGACTTAGATGAGGGTAGAATGGTATGGCCATGTCCCGAAACTGGAATAGAATGACCATTGCCAACCAGGATACATGCATTAGTACAAGTATTAAAATAGGGCGTAAGAGTACCAGAAGAGGACGTCATGTGAGACGTAGCGCCCGTATCCATGTACCAATTGGGATCCGGCTGGGAAAGTGACATGGTATGCATGGCCGCCGTGATATCAGTAGGGGCAGTAGACGGCCCTCCTAAGTGTGCTTGGTGAGGGGCCGGCCCAAGAATGCTGGCAGATGCACGAGGAGAAGGAGAAGCCCCATTCCATGGTACTGCCGGATATGGGCATGGAGGAGGAGCCCATGGAGCCGTAGGCCAGTATGACCATGGGGGAAATGGCCATTGTCCGGACCGGGCTGACATATCAAATACAGGCAACGGACCCTCAGGGCGAGTAGGAGCCTGGTTTCTGCCGCCGCGAGAAGAATTCCGGCCACGAGGACGGGCAGCACGATTATCCGAATGAGGAGGTGGAGGCGGAGGGGGTGGACGAGGCCCAGCGTGGACCGAGCTTCTTCAAGCAAAAGCATCGACCGTGCTTTAGAAAAGAGAGGAAGCGGAACCGTCTGTTGAATGAAGGTGGCGACGGTGTCATAGTGTGCTGGCAGACCACACACAAGACGAAGAACGAGGCGATCGTTCTTAACCGGAGCATCAACATTTTTCAACTGATCCGAAAGGATTTTCAGAGCTTGGCAATATGCGGCAATATTCGGAAATTGCTCAAGTCGAGTATTGGAGAATTGATCCTCCAAGTAGACTGCCCGGGAATTTTTATTGTCCTGAAAAATGTCTTCAAGACGTTCCCAAGCACTGGCCGCCGTAGAGTCCGGAGCAATGATGGTGTGCAACAAGTCGTGAGAAATCGTACCGTAAATCCATTGAAGGACCACGGCATCGAGGCGATCCCAAAGGAGGCTGGCCTCGGCAGCAGCAGCTTCTCGTTCGAGTTGTTGTTCGGGTGTAAGAGCCGGCGTAGTGGTGGAGGACGTCGTGGTGGAGGACGTCGTAGTAGAGGGAAGAATATGATCAAGGACTTGATAAGCCCTGGCAGTGATCTTAAAGAGCTCCGCCTAGGAAGAATATTCGGCGGTATCAAGAGCAAGGGTGATTGGGATAAAGTTTTTTATATGAGTGACGGCCAGGGCGGGGTGGAATTTTGAGGAAGAAGGAGAAGCCATGGCCGGGTGGTCGTCTGATACCAAAATAGAGTTTCAATCGTGATTTTATTGATGAGGAGCTACGTATATATACATGATTACAACAAAGTATTCAACTCTACATCAACTACGTAAAAGAAGCTAACCGCCTAACTATGTGATATACACGAGTCAGTCAAATATTATCTACAACCTTTTTAATAAATAAATAGCTAAAGTGATAATACAGATAATAACAACCGAGTGCGCAGGTCCCTTGGTCCGGAATTACGTCCGCATGCATGCATGCGTTATTATACTTTTCTCTAATATTATTATTACTTTATAGAACTACTGCTACTATTATGGTTGTTGGTATAGTAATAATAACAGCAGTAGTAGTAATATGAATAACAATAATAATAATAATATTATAACTAATATTATCATTATGGCAATTATCATTTATCAACATGTTCTCTAACCTCGTGGTTAAATGCCAGGCAACACATACCTGAAGTTTGACACTTTCTCCGAAGGCATTAATCGAGGCGCGTTGGAGATGGATGCACAAGATCTGCAATTTAGAGATCTATCAATCATGTAAACTTGAGTACAAAACCAAATAAAGTAATGACAGACCCATGGATTGACACCTTAATTAAAAGAGTCAATTCTCATACTTGCGGGCTGTGAGCAATACTAAATTGCTTGAAGGTACGCGAAAATTCATTTGACCATGGCAATGCTCTGAGACATGACATCTCTTTGCAATCACATGAATCTAACTCCTGGCAGAGCTTCAGTTTTTTAACAGCAATCTGCAAATATGTATCACACGAAAATGGAGCTTAATATTCACTAACTATTAAATTAACAACTCCTTTGTTAAGAATTTATTTAATCTTATCAGCCTTATTAGCCACATTTTCACCACACACACTAACTATTCTAACAGTACTACAGGAGTTAATTTAGGCTGAAACAGCTAAAATGGATAAGATTGGTACATTTAGCTTCATTTTTAGATTTTATCTTCTTTTATTTGTTTAAATATATATTTCTCATTTCTGAATAAATAACTTATTTAAATAATTCAGCAGATACAACAATCGGAACACAACCTCAGCAATTTCAATTAAGTCGACCACTTATATGTCATTTCAAGCCTTACCATACAGGCCCTGAAAAATATAGTGCATACTATAATTTCAAAAGGTAAGAAATTTTTGAAGTATAACAAAGACATGTTATAGATAGCTCCTTAAATGAAGCTGGCTCAAAAATTATGGAACATTACCTCATCTACAATTATTTTAGATGCATACTTTATTGCAGCAATGTGCCAACAGTGACTACAATAGTAACTCTCAAGTTGCTCTGCCACCAAGAACCGCCTTAGACAATCCTCCACACGGCATCTGGCCACCTAAGTTAGCTCATATGGCTCAAACAAGAACACTAATGATTGAAAAAATATTATATATTGACTTTACAACATACAATACTCCCATCATAGTCAGCTCTTGGTAGAAGATGCAAACTCTGAAAAAGCTGAAAATCCAAAGATATCTGTGCAAAAAAAAGAATGTGGATTAGCTAAGATCTAAGTGTTCCATGGAGTTAAGGATGGAGAGATGATAAAAAAAGGTACCCTTCTAAACTTTTTATGAAGTCCTATACGGCAAGCTTCATTTTGGACATAGCAAAGTGTCTTGCATAAAGAGTAATAGGTATCCCACATGGTTGTGAATCCATTATATAAGTGTGAGGTAAATATCACTCTTGAAAATCATTTTGGAGTGAGGTAAGCCCTATTTAACGTGCATCATAGTCTGATCTAATGCTGGTTTGTGGGCTACTGGGCTTCCCATTTGGGGTCAGCTGGGCCTAATTACCCACAGCTTCAACCCAGCTTGGGCTGAATAAGTTTATTAACTACTTCATATTACGTATCTCACATTTGTTTTATACTTGACTTGAGTCTAGTATCAATGTGACGTAAACCTCAACTCTTGAGGATCCTTGCTGGGCCAGTCATGTCCAATTTAACATAGAGAAAGAACAAGTAGTGTAACATTCAGAGAAATGCAGATATCCTTTCAAGTTCAACTCAACCTGAAGCGAACAGCTTTGGCACATTAAGCTGCTACAAAGAATCCCATAAAAAGGCCCAATAAAATATTGCCTCCACCTTTCTGGTTCACTTTTTCTTGACTTCTTTAAGTCCAGAACTCTACAGTTAGGAAGACCAGTCACATCCGCTAAAGAGATACATTCATGGACATAAGACTCTGACAACTCTTCCCTTAAAGAAGATAAGAGGTGATATAGCGCTTCTTCTGCATCCTACATGACCATTTAATTAGTTAAGAGGGAAGAATGACATCTTAAAACGATTGCTCAACAGTGACCACAGTAACATATACCTGTTGGCTTGTCATGTTGAAATTTGGAATATATTCATTCATGGCGTGCATCAGTTTCTGAGGACTTAATACAGTTCTTCCATGTTGAAGTGTGCAGAGTTCTTAGAGATAGTAAGATAGTATTTAGCAGTTAATTAACATAACATGTAAATGAAATGCTTGATGTGGGACTCATCCCTTAACATGTCATTCAAGAAGGTGGCTCCTTGGATCAAATTGCTCATTTCAGTTTAATGTCGTACAGTCATACCATGACTTCATATAAATGTACTTACATAATACAAATGTATTACCAAAACATGTAGTCTTGTTGGAAGGAATAAAAAGTAAAGACTTCATATTTTGGTAATACCTAGTATTCCTTCAATGTGGGAGAACTGCACGACTCCAAGGGTACTCCTCCTTTCCATTAGATGTTATTTCAAGATTTCTCCCTTAAAATGCACACATCAATAAAAATATAAAATAATGCAGCATGAAGTAACACAATTGTGATGAGAGGCAGAAGAAACTAAGAAAGATTTGAATTTCCTACATTATTTCATGTTTTCATTGAAGGTCCGAAATCATGTCATCTACCTCACTCTTAATAACTTTCATACTATGTTGCTCTAAGAAAATGCACAAACTTTGTCACAATTCAAAATAACTACAATACTTCAAATTCATTATTATGAATTAAGAGTGGCGCAATCCTAAGATAACAAAAAGAATTAAAAAAAAAACACCATAATAAGAATTAACAAACTAACCATACACGTTTACAGAATATTGGATGAAAGTTTGATAAGTAACACAAAACTAGACAAAGTTTTATAGAACCATATATGACTCTCCTATGGAGTCATATGGGCTGGTGTGACCTCACTATTATCACTTGTTTTCATAGTGGGGCAATCTCACAATGACAATGCGTGATAACGATGATGCCACATAAGTCCATTCGACTTCGTAGGAGTGGTGTATGGTTTCATAAAATTTTAGTAAATCAGTGCAAATTACAATTCTTAGTGAAGGAGTATACAGGTTGTAACTCAACTCATGACTATTCTAGCATAATATTATTTGCTCCATACTTATGTTTTAAGACTTGTCTAATCAAATTATTACATGGGGACCATGCTTCCATTTATGGTTTCAACAATAACAATAAATTCGGGCCAATGCAAATGCCTAACCCAATTGGGGTATCTCAATACTCACCTTCTAGCAACCAAAATAAAGCATCGGCAAGAGACGAGTTTTCCTCACTGCCATCCGTGGATGATCCCCCAACTTCAGAAACTAGTTCCTCGAGAAAGTTCCGGAAGCTCTGACAACTAGCTAATGCCTAAGTTCATTAAAGGAGGGCCACAATCAATTTAAGGAGCCAGAAATGGAAGAGCAAGTGCAACGAATGAAAATCTACCTGGAGAACTGCATTCAAAAAGCAATTGTTTCCAAAATTTTGCAGGCCTGGTAGTAGCATAGAATCGTCGGAACAAGTGTTGGAGCCTGAAGACCATTTCAAACTGCTAAGATTCAAGAATTTGATATCTTTTACGGCGTAAGCCAATCCAGCAACACCCAGTATAGTTGCAGCAAGCGATACTTGAAGCCCTGGAGCAGAACGCGCAATAAGCTGCAACCCGTGTCTGAGTTTATGAGCAGTTATGCCATGAATTTTCATTTTGGATTAGTGGTTTACGTTTTGTTCCTTGAACATAGGTCCTAGAAGCTGTCTGCCTTCTCCAAGACAGGCATCGGTTTCATTGCTGATGGCCAGGCTAGGGAACAAGATTACCATTTAAACTGAATGATTACCATTTAAACTATTTAGTGGGCAAAATTAGAGTTAATTTAAGGGAGAATTTGACACCTCATGTTTTGGTTAATATTGGACTTTGCACCCCATTTTCAAAATCATTAATATTTGCATTCTATTTCACTATATAGTTGTTTGACTTTGCACCGCACTCTAGTTCACAATTTTTGAACTAATGGGGGTGCAAATATTAATGATTTTGAATATATGATGCAAAGTTTAATATGGCTTAAAACATAGGGTGCAAAGTCAAATTCCCCTTAATTTAAAATTAAAATTTAAGTGTTTGACAAAAGAAGCTGCAAAGGCTAAATTTTTAAAAAACTAACTGGGGTATCTCTTACTTTGTTTTTCGATTTATCAACTTTATGGGCTAACCTTTATTAAAGTATGTAACTTTTAATCTCGCGCACTGCATTGTACTACCTCTATCCCATTATGGTTGTCTCATTTCAATTCGACGCGATTATTAATAAAGTAGTTGAAAAGTAAAAGTTGTGGTTGAAATTTGAGTAGAATGAATTTAAATGATATTGATCACAAATTTCTTACCAAAAGGAAAACATGACATTCATTTGGGGACAATCAAAAAAGAAAAGTAAGACAAACAAAATGGGACGGAGGGAGTACAATTATCAAAATATATAAGGTTCTTGTTACTTTTTAATTGGATTGACTGGAGTTACAATAAAGGATCATTTTAACTATCTTTTCATATAACTTTTCTTTATTTTATTGATTAAATATATTTGAAATAGAGAAAACTGTCAAATAGGCCCACGTACTATTAGCAAAACGTCAATTAGGCACACGTACTTAATTATCACCCAATCAAGCACCCGAACTTAAAAAAATACTCCAAAACATGAATTTAGCCGGTACACCCCCGGTTGGCCGGTTAAATGCTTCCGTGGCAACTGAGCTGGCTCTAATGATCGATATAAGCATCAGGTAAGGGTCATTTATATGGAGAAAACATTTCCCAAATTACCTTAACCCTAATTTCAATGTTCTTCACTTCGCTTTGAACCGGAGAAGAAAACGCGTAACGCCAAAAGCTCGTGGGTGTACTGGCTTCGCCTTCTAGCATTAACTTCTGCGTAGTACAGGTAAGTAATGTCTTATTCGAACGGTACATGATAGTTTGGGACCCATATGTGTTTGTTTTTGTTGCTTTGCTCATTACTTGAACATTTAATGGACTGAAGTGATGTTTAATTCCAACAATTGTTGTTATGCCCGTATTCTTCAATGTGTAATCTATATTGTGAATAGTTAATTGTACAAAAATTAAGCTTTCCTGTTAATTGACCAACCATTCCCTCCTTTTCAGAATGTTTGACAAGGTTCAGCTAAACATTCACCATGGGGGGACTTTGGTTAACAAGCCTACACGTATGTACAAAGGTGGTGAAGTCAATACTTTGGAAATAGATCCTGATTTCATATGCTACCCTCATTTAATGAAGTTCCTCAAATCGGGTATGTATGGAAATATCCAAGGGATTTATTTTAAGAAACCATCAGAAAGTATGGATACTCTATATGAGCTGTACAACGATGAGTCAACTTTACATTTAATAGACATTGGTAGTAGTTGTGGACAGTGTGATGTGTATGTACAACATGGTTTGGATGAAGTTGAGTTGGTAGATTTCCTCCCATTACCACAACCAGACAATGCAAAGGATGCAAATGCAGAAAACAATGCTGAAGAGGCTAATGAAGAGGGAGATGATGAGAGTGATTCACTGGAAATTGAGAGTGAAGAAAGGAATGCTGAAGAGCATGATGAAGATCTTTGGGAGGTCCCATTAGAATCAGATGGTAATATTGCAGATGAAGAACATATTGACACTTCAAATATTGATGATGAAGCTGGGTTTGATAATGATGCCACTGATGAGCCACATCAAACAAATGAGGACTTAGGAGGTTCTGATCCTGAGTACTGCAGCACTGAATATGACTCAGATAATCCATCTAGCTTGGAGTCAGAAGAGGATCCAGAAAGTGGTATTGTCAACACAAAAAAGAAGAAATGCAGCCATCCTGTGTACAACCCTCATTCTGACCCTCCATTGATTGAATTTGTAACACCGCTCCCAAGTATTTGTACTTTATCAAATTATGTATTGAACCCAAGGAATGAATAAACGCATTTTACGGGAGTGTGAATTTTTATCATTTCTTTTACGTGAATAGTAAAATTCACGTGGGGCCCACATCGAAAGTGGGGGCCGCCCGATATTATCGGGACGACATATTATATTCATTTGGGTCAAGATAATATGTGTATAATGGTGGATAGCCGGGTTGGGCCATAGAAGTTATGTGAGTAACCTTTTGGGCATATGAAGCCCATTTATCGGTACCGAGGTAATATCAGATAAAAAGCCATAATAAATTATGGAGACCATCGAATTAAAAGTTGGGGGAAATACATTCATTCTATTAGCCAATGATAATTGGAAGAATGATACATATTTCATTTGACTCGATGAAATGAAATATAGTTAAAATAGTCCGGAAAATACAACTTTCGGGACCGAGTGTACACTCGGGGACACAAAGGGATGACCACCCATCAAAGTGGGGGCCACCCCACGACTTTGATGCTGCAAACCAGTAGGGGAGCCGCACACTAATGTGGAGGAGCAAGGGAAATTGATTGGAAGACCAATCAATGAAGCAAGTGGACCTCACCTTTGATATTATTATGAGAAATGCCAAAAAGGCATTCTCCATCACCCCAAAGTCATACAACTCGTCCATACCACTCCCATAACTGAGAGAATCTCTGCAAACTCCATCCTTACCATCCTCACACGCACCAAGAACAAGAGGAAGAAGAAGAAAGGAAAAGAGAGGAGAAAAGAGGAGTTTTAGGTGCGAAAACTTGTGGTTAATAAGGTAATGACTTCATTAATCCCATTCCTTCTCCTTAATCATGTTTCATACTCCTAGGATAGTTCTACACATGTAAAGCTGTAGAATAGGAGTTGGAAAGTGGTCTAAACCCAAAACGAGCTTTGAGAGCAAAGTTGACGGGTTTGCCGGAAAATAACCTTTTAGAGGTTATTGGTGTTGATATGGGTTTTATGATGATAAAACCTTGTTATTAACTTGTATAAGGTATTCCAAGAACTTTCACGGAGTTGAAAGGGTCGCCGGAGTTGTCGCCGGAGTTAGTTGAAGTTCACCGGAGTTTCACCGGGGCTAAATCGGAAAGGCTAGAACTTCATAGGCTTCAATAAGGTGAGAAGACGGCTATATGCTTTATAACTTTTGATTGAGGCATGAGATTACCTAAAGTAATCAAGTATATGTTTTACGGAATGATTAAAGTTAATCAAGTATTGGCTTATGCCATGATTATATATAAAACAAAGTTGAAAAGCATGTTTTGTATGTTTGGTGATTAAAAATGTGATAACTCATTATGTACAATGATCCAGGGGTCAAAAATGGTATTTTTGGATCAAGGACTTCAAGTAGATTATGCATGTAAAATTTCACGTTAATCGGACTCCGTTTGGGCGGTCAAACAGGCGTTGACCGCCAAGTCAACTACAATACCCGACCGGGTGTCTGCTGAAAAATTGGCCCCAAGGGCCGCTGTCTCCTATACCCGATCGAGTATGGATAGATACTCGATCGAGTATGCCTTGAAAATTAGCCTTATGGGCTCCTGTCTCCTGTACTCGACCGAGTATTGATGGGTACTCGATCGAGTATTGGGTTATACTCAAAACGGGTAGTTTTTGAGTGGGTTAACGTGGATCGATCAGGTGGGACCCGTCCACGTTGGTTACTAAGGATTATTATATGACTATAGGACTAGGTATTGTCCATAGTTAAGTGAATGCAAGGTTAGCCATATCCAGGTTAGGGTTTGGTTAGAAATAAGGTTGAGGTTGAGTATCCTCGGGACGGTAAATGATCCTAAAACTCGGTGAGGTTGAGTATCCTCAGGACGGTAAACAATCCTAAAACTCGGTTGAGGTTGAGCATCCTCGGGACGGTAAATGATCCTAAAACTCGGTTGAGGTTGAGCATCCTCGGGACGGTAAATGATCCCAAAACTCGGATGGGGTTGAGTATCCCCGGGAGGGTTAACACTCCTGAAACTCGGTAGGATATTATGAAGGTAGAATGTAGCTCTTAAGCTAGGCATTCAGGAATGAAAGGGGAAAGGTTGGGTAAGTACCTTGTCTCTAAAAGACTCTTTTGTGAGAAAACGACCTACGGGTCAAGTATTTTACAAGTATATACAGTATGTATTATCTTGGGAATGGGGTGACAATGGTTACACCTATAAATATATGTATCATCCTATTTTTGGGTCTCGTGTCTGAGACATTAGTTATTCCTCATATAGCCTGCTTGTCACTAGTACTTCTATGGAGTACTGACCCCTTCGGGGGCCCTCACATTTTTCAGGTTGAGGCTAGAGTCCTGCCACCTGCACCTTTGCCCAGGGTGAACTCAAATAAGGAAGACGTGGTTCGTGCTTCCATTCTTATTTGAAATTATGAAATTGCTCATGGATATTTGAACGATGTTTTCTACTAAACTATTGAAGGGCCTGCGTGCTCATGTTTGCCACGTGTGGCTAAATGTCAAACATATTTTATTTCGGCATTTGTTTGATTTATATATTGATGTTGATTGTATGGGTTTACTAATCGGTTTGGCGATAGAATCTATCGGACGCCTTGTATGATTTGATAAGAATGAACTACGTTGTTCTTATTGGGTTGTACGGCGGTTGTCTACGTGGCACGGATGCGGTCCGGGGCGTGACAATTAAGTGGTATCAGAGACATCGATTTCTGAACTATACAACTAACCTCTCAATATAGTGCCATCAAAAAGTTTTGAACAAAACCATGAGCAAAAGTTTTTGTACTTAAGGAACCGTTGGAAACCAAGTTATTGACCTCTTATTGTTAAGATGGTACCCTTAACAGTTTGTTGGCCATAACGTTGGACCAAGTGGTGTCTTTTGTACTATTCCGTCAATTGACATTGATACGAGTCTAACGGCTCATTCCAAATTTCTTTCAGAAATGGAGGGTAGAGGCATGGCTACGAGGAACAACCCGAGAGGGCAAACTCCGGTGACGTCCGAAGGGGCTAGCCAGGTTGCATCTCGGGGCGCGAGAGGCGGTAGGAGAGGCCGTGGAGGCCGTGGAGGCCGTGGAGGCCGGGGAGGTCATCGGGCTCAAACTGTGAGCGATGGCCATGTTAGCTCGGTGCATGGAACTCACACCGAGGATTATGACTCTACCTATGTTCCCGAGACGGAACATGAGGAGACCCCATATAATGGGGGTGATACGTATACTGATGATGACAACGATGAGAGTGATGCCAAATTCGCCCAGATGGGTGAACTGTTTGAGTGGTATCAAAAGGAGAAGTTGAAGAGAGATCTTAGGCGCCAAGCTAGGCGTGCCTCTCAGGGGGCTTCAGGTCACGGAAGCCGGGGAGCATCAGTGGCTACACCTGTGGCGTCACAGGGAATGCATGGAGGAGGTTTTTGTGTAAGAATCTCCAAATACCTCAAGGAGGCTAGGGCCTTGGGGTGCAAGTCATTTGATGGCAAGGGTGATATATCGGTGGCTGCCGATTGGATAAAGAAGCTAAATGAGGCTGCTAGAGATATGCAGATCGGGCTTGACATAAAGCTAACAATAGCTACCAGGCTACTGGAGGGAGTAGCTGCTGTATGGTGGGAGGGCGTGGAAGGAAAGTTCCACGGTGAGACCACCTGGGAGAAATTTGAAGTAGAATTCTATAATCAGTACTACTCAGAGTTCGAAAAGAACCAAAAGAGGAAGGAGTACATGACCCTGGTACAGGAGGAGGATTGCTCGGTGAGGCAACTGGAACAAAGGTTCCGGGACTTGGCACGATACATACCTGAGTACGCCATGGATGAGAACCGCATGGCTAATCACTTCTGGGATACCCTACAGTTGGATATCCGTGATAGGGCCACCTACAATCACCACATGACTTTTAGTGAGATTGTGGATCAAGGGCTACTTGGGGAAGCCAAGTGGAATGAAAGGAAGAAGAGAGACGCCGAAGAGGCGAAGAAAAGAAGATGGGGAAATTCTGGACCCCAAGACCATTCTCGGAAACATCACGCCGGGAATGGAAGATCATTCAGGGCGCCGGAACCACCGGCAAAGAAGAGTAAGGGCCCAGGAGGGCAAGGGCATAGCTCGGGGAGCGTGAGGCCACCAAGGTGTCCGAACTGTAACAGGAATCACTCCGGGAAGTGCAATGAACCACCCCGGTGCTACAAGTGTGGTAGCACAAGCCACCTCAAACTCTCCTGCCCAATGTTGAGTGGAGGTGGGCCATCGGGAGCTGTTGAGGCGCCTACGTCTGGTAGGGGTCGTGCGGGACCATCTCAAGGCGGCACGGGAAGGGGCGGACCCACGGCCAGTAACGCCGCGTCCGTTAACCAAGGGAGGACCCAAGCACGGGTGTATGCAATGACCGAGGCCGATGCTCGGGCCAACCCGGACTCTATTGCAGGTAACCCCTTGAATCCACATGCATTTTCATGTGTTTTAAAGCTAAAAATCTGCAGGAAACATGTAATACCCGATCGAATATCCATATATACCCGATCGGGTATGGGCAAATTGCTCGGTCTCGAAGTGTGTACTCGTTCGAGCACGTTTAGCAGGACCCTTTGATTTTGGCAAATCCAGCCATACTCGACCGAGTATGGTTATATACTCGATCGAGTATTAGTGGAATTTTGTTTTTAAGGCGTGTACTCGATCGAACGTCGTGGGCAGGAAACTCTTGTTTAAAACTTTGAGTAATACCCGACCGGGTATAGGCATATACCCGACCGGGTATAGATGTTCGGTTCGGGTTCGAGGTGTGTACTCGACCGAGCAGGGATTCCAGGGGATTGTTGTTTAAAAACCTGAGTAATACCCGACCGGGTATGGGTATACACTCGATCGGGCAAGGTTAACAGAGAGTTTCTTCTTAAGAGCTCGAGTGTTACCCGACCGGGTATGGAGGGTTACCCGACCGGGTATAAGGTAGTCCTAAGCTAGAATACTTGTCGTCCAGTCCTTATCAGTCGGACGTTGAGTAGTGTGTCTTACATGACTTATGTATGTAGGGACACTAAAGATCAATGGCAGACAAGCGAGAATTCTCATCGACACCGGGGCGCAACGTTCATTTATGAGCGAAGCGTTTGCCGAGGGTTTGGACATGCCATTAACGGCGATGACGCAACCTCTGTTGGTCTCTACACCGTTGGGAGACGATGTAGAGAGGAAGCACTACTATCCTTCATGTAATGTGGAGATAGGGGAGCACCGCCTAATGGGCGACTTTGTACCGTTAGACATGCTCGAGTTCGATGCCATACTCGGCATGGATTGGCTTGAGAAACACCATGCAAAGGTAGATTGCTACACCAAGGTGTTAGAATTAGAAGACGGCGAGGGAAATACTCTATGCTTCGAGGGAGATAGAGGAAGGTTCAATCCCTGCATCATATCGGCCTTAAGGGCGAGGCGTCTGATGAACAAAGGCTATCAGGCATACTTAGCCTATGTCATAGGCAAGGAAAGCAAAGGAAAGAGCCTCACGGAGGTGAGGGTGGTGAGTGAGTACCCAGAAGTTTTCCCCGAAGAACTCCCGGGACTCCCACCAGATCGGGAGATCGAGTTTGAGATTGAGGTTGAACCAGGCACCAAGCCCATCTCAATTCCTCCGTATCGAATGGCACCGGCTGAACTTCAAGAATTGAAAGTTCAATTGGAAGAGCTACTAGATAATGGATTCATTAGACCGAGTCATTCACCATGGGGAGCACCCGTACTCTTTGTAAAGAAGAAGGATGGTACAATGAGAATGTGTATCGACTACCGTCAATTGAACAAGGTCACAATAAAGAACAAATATCCTTTGCCAAGGATTGACGACTTGTTTGATCAATTACGGGGGGCAACCGTGTTCTCCAAGATCGACTTGAGGTCGGGCTACCATCAACTAAAGATCAAGGAGAGTGACATACCCAAAAGTGCATTCCGTACAAGGTATGGTCACTATGAGTTCCTAGTGATGTCGTTTGGGCTTACAAATGCCCCCGCGGCATTCATGGACCTCATGAACCGAGTATTTCATCAATACTTGGACCAATTTGTCATAGTGTTCATTGATGATATTTTGATATACTCCAAGAACGAAGAGGAACACGAGAAACATCTAAGACTCGTGCTTGAAACACTGCGGGAGAAGCAACTCTTTGCCAAATTCTCTAAATGTGAATTTTGGCTTGGGGAGATCGGTTTTCTCGGGCATGTGGTATCAGGCTCGGGCATTTCAGTTGATAACTCGAAGATTGAAGCAGTCACTAATTGGGAGAGGCCCAAGAATGTGAAGGAAATACGGAGTTTCCTCGGTTTAGCGGGGTATTACCGCAAATTCGTGGAGAAGTTCTCGGTGATAGCATCTCCACTCACGAAGCTCACTAAAAAGGGGGCTAAGTTTGTGTGGGATGACAAGTGCGAGAAGGGGTTTCTTGAGCTAAAGAAACGTTTGACTGAAGCACCAGTGCTTGCCCTACCCGTACAAGGGTTAAGGTATGACATCTACAGTGATGCTAGTATCCAGGGGCTTGGATGCGTACTGATGCAATCAGGGAAGGTAATTGCTTATGCTTCTCGACAGTTGAGGAAGCATGAAGTAAATTACCCCACGCATGATCTGGAGCTGGGGGCTGTGGTGTTTGCTTTGAAGATTTGGAGGCATTACCTCTACGGTGAGGTGTGTCACATTTATACTGACCACAAAAGTTTGAAGTACGTGTTCACTCAGAAAGAGTTGAACATGAGGCAGAGAAGATGGATGGAGCTGATCAAGGATTACAACTTGATTATTGAGTATCATCCAGGGAAGGCTAACGTGGTAGCCGATGCTCTTAGTAGGAAGAGCTCATCGGGGGTTTTACTCTCATGCTTGCAAGCATTGAGGGCACGCGTGGAGGTATCCACGAATGGGGCTCTATTGGCCAGATTTGAGGTGAGACCCACCTTATTAGACGAAATCAGGACGCGTCAAGGCAATGACGAGGAAATTCAGAAAATCCGGGAACGGATGCTGGTGGGACCTGTCGAGGGTTTCCGTGAGAGGGAAGATGGACTCCTACTATTCAGGGAACGAGTGTGTGTGCCGTCAGACGAGGAGCTCCGAAAATCTATTCTTGAGGAGGCTCACTCATCTGCGTATGCCATGCACCCGGGTGGAACAAAGATGTACCGGGACTTGAAGGAAAGTTACTGGTGGTCAGGGATGAAGAGAGAGATTGCAGAATATGTGAGTCGTTGCCTTACCTGTCAGCAGGTTAAGGCAGAGCACCAGCACCCAGCGGGGTTATTACAGCCACTTACCATCCCAGAATGGAAGTGGGAGCATGTTACTATGGACTTCGTGGTAGGTCTACCACGCACGGTTAGGAACTATGATGCAGTGTGGGTGGTGGTTGATAGGTTAACCAAGAGTGCTCATTTCCTTCCTATCAACACTACTTATACGCTTGAACGACTGGCCAAGTTGTACACAGATGAGATTGTGAGACTGCATGGGGTTCCAGTTACGATAGTATCGGATAGAGACCCACGGTTCACATCACGGTTTTGGCCTAAGTTCCAGGAATCCATGGGAACAAAGTTGAGGTTTAGCACGGCATTCCATCCTCAAACAGATGGGCAATCCGAACGGGTGATTCAGATTTTGGAGGACATGCTGAGGGCATGTGCCTTGGAGTTCCAAGGAAGTTGGGACAACCAGTTGGCCTTGGTGGAGTTTGCTTATAACAACAGTTATCAAGCAAGTATAGGCATGCCTCCATACGAGGCATTGTATGGGAGGAAATGTCGGACACCTTTGTGTTGGGATGAGGTAGGCGAGGCTAAGCTTGAGGGCATCGAGCTAGTCGAAATCACCAAGGAGAAGGTGAGGGTTATCCAGGATAGGCTCAAGGCTGCCCAAGATCGGCAGAAGAGTTATGCAGATAAACGTCGGAGGACGTTAGAGTTCGAGGTCGGCGATGAGGTATTTCTGAGGGTGTCACCTTGGAAAGGGATCATCAGGTTCCTCAGTCGGGGTAAGCTTAACCCACGCTACATAGGCCCATTCAAAATCATTGAAAGGATCGGGGTTGTAGCATACCGGCTTCAGTTAACTCCAGAATTAGAAAAGATTCATAACGTATTTCATGTTTCTATGCTCAAGAAGTATGTACGGGACCCGTCACATATTCTTGAGAAACCACCGGTAGAAATCCGGGAAGACCTTCACTATGCGGTGCAGCCGGTAAAGATCATGGACCGACAGGTAAAGAAGCTAAGGAGTAAAGAGGTACCGATGGTGAAGGTACTTTGGAAGAGTGATCGTGTCGAGGAGCAAACTTGGGAAGTGGAGACCCTGATGAGGGAACAGTATCCATTTCTGTTTGACTAGACACGTGGATTTCGGGGACGAAATCCCAAATAAGGGGGGTAGAACTTGTAACACCGCTCCCAAGTATTTGTACTTTATCAAATTATGTATTGAACCCAAGGAATGAATAAACGCATTTTACGGGAGTGTGAATTTTTATCATTTCTTTTACGTGAATAGTAAAATTCACGTGGGGCCCACATCGGAAGTGGGGGGCCGCCCGATATTATCGGGACGACATATTATATTCATTTGGGTCAAGATAATATGTGTATAATGGTGGATAGCCGGGTTGGGCCATAGAAGTTATGTGAGTAACCTTTTGGGCATATGAAGCCCATTTATCGGTACCGAGGTAATATCAGATAAAAAGCCATAATAAATTATGGAGACCATCGAATTAAAAGTTGGGGGAAATACATTCATTCTATTAGCCAATGATAATTGGAAGAATGATACATATTTCATTTGACTCGATGAAATGAAATATAGTTAAAATAGTCCGGAAAATACAACTTTCGGGACCGAGTGTACACTCGGGGACACAAAGGGATGACCACCCATCAAAGTGGGGGCCACCCCACGACTTTGATGCTGCAAACCAGTAGGGGAGCCGCACACTAATGTGGAGGAGCAAGGGAAATTGATTGGAAGACCAATCAATGAAGCAAGTGGACCTCACCTTTGATATTATTATGAGAAATGCCAAAAAGGCATTCTCCATCACCCCAAAGTCATACAACTCGTCCATACCACTCCCATAACTGAGAGAATCTCTGCAAACTCCATCCTTACCATCCTCACACGCACCAAGAACAAGAGGAAGAAGAAGAAAGGAAAAGAGAGGAGAAAAGAGGAGTTTTAGGTGCGAAAACTTGTGGTTAATAAGGTAATGACTTCATTAATCCCATTCCTTCTCCTTAATCATGTTTCATACTCCTAGGATAGTTCTACACATGTAAAGCTGTAGAATAGGAGTTGGAAAGTGGTCTAAACCCAAAACGAGCTTTGAGAGCAAAGTTGACGGGTTTGCCGGAAAATAACCTTTTAGAGGTTATTGGTGTTGATATGGGTTTTATGATGATAAAACCTTGTTATTAACTTGTATAAGGTATTCCAAGAACTTTCACGGAGTTGAAAGGGTCGCCGGAGTTGTCGCCGGAGTTAGTTGAAGTTCACCGGAGTTTCACCGGGGCTAAATCGGAAAGGCTAGAACTTCATAGGCTTCAATAAGGTGAGAAGACGGCTATATGCTTTATAACTTTTGATTGAGGCATGAGATTACCTAAAGTAATCAAGTATATGTTTTACGGAATGATTAAAGTTAATCAAGTATTGGCTTATGCCATGATTATATATAAAACAAAGTTGAAAAGCATGTTTTGTATGTTTGGTGATTAAAAATGTGATAACTCATTATGTACAATGATCCAGGGGTCAAAAATGGTATTTTTGGATCAAGGACTTCAAGTAGATTATGCATGTAAAATTTCACGTTAATCGGACTCCGTTTGGGCGGTCAAACAGGCGTTGACCGCCAAGTCAACTACAATACCCGACCGGGTGTCTGCTGAAAAATTGGCCCCAAGGGCCGCTGTCTCCTATACCCGATCGAGTATGGATAGATACTCGATCGAGTATGCCTTGAAAATTAGCCTTATGGGCTCCTGTCTCCTGTACTCGACCGAGTATTGATGGGTACTCGATCGAGTATTGGGTTATACTCAAAACGGGTAGTTTTTGAGTGGGTTAACGTGGATCGATCAGGTGGGACCCGTCCACGTTGGTTACTAAGGATTATTATATGACTATAGGACTAGGTATTGTCCATAGTTAAGTGAATGCAAGGTTAGCCATATCCAGGTTAGGGTTTGGTTAGAAATAAGGTTGAGGTTGAGTATCCTCGGGACGGTAAATGATCCTAAAACTCGGTGAGGTTGAGTATCCTCAGGACGGTAAACAATCCTAAAACTCGGTTGAGGTTGAGCATCCTCGGGACGGTAAATGATCCTAAAACTCGGTTGAGGTTGAGCATCCTCGGGACGGTAAATGATCCTAAAACTCGGTTGAGGTTGAGCATCCTCGGGACGGTAAATGATCCCAAAACTCGGATGGGGTTGAGTATCCCCGGGAGGGTTAACACTCCTGAAACTCGGTAGGATATTATGAAGGTAGAATGTAGCTCTTAAGCTAGGCATTCAGGAATGAAAGGGGAAAGGTTGGGTAAGTACCTTGTCTCTAAAAGACTCTTTTGTGAGAAAATGACCTACGGGTCAAGTATTTTACAAGTATATACAGTATGTATTATCTTGGGAATGGGGTGACAATGGTTACACCTATAAATATATGTATCATCCTATTTTTGGGTCTCGTGTCTGAGACATTAGTTATTCCTCATATAGCCTGCTTGTCACTAGTACTTCTATGGAGTACTGACCCCTTCGGGGGCCCTCACATTTTTCAGGTTGAGGCTAGAGTCCTGCCACCTGCACCTTTGCCCAGGGTGAACTCAAATAAGGAAGACGTGGTTCGTGCTTCCATTCTTATTTGAAATTATGAAATTGCTCATGGATATTTGAACGATGTTTTCTACTAAACTATTGAAGGGCCTGCGTGCTCATGTTTGCCACGTGTGGCTAAATGTCAAACATATTTTATTTCGGCATTTGTTTGATTTATATATTGATGTTGATTGTATGGGTTTACTAATCGGTTTGGCGATAGAATCTATCGGACGCCTTGTATGATTTGATAAGAATGAACTACGTTGTTCTTATTGGGTTGTACGGCGGTTGTCTACGTGGCACGGATGCGGTCCGGGGCGTGACAGAATTGGCAATGCTATTTGAGGATGGTAGGGAGTTTAAGAATGCTATGATAAGGTATGCAGTCCATAAGAAAACAGACATTTCTTTTGTGAAAAATGAGCCTTTAAGAGTTCAAGTCAAGTGTGGTCCCACATGTCCCTTTGGGTGCACTGTCAGTTGGGAAAGAAGATACAAATGCTTTCAAGTGAAGGTGTTAAGGCCAGACCATTTGTGCAATTCCAAGTTCAAATTGAGGGTTGTTGGCCAGAAGTGGTTAGAGGACAGATTTGAAGACAAGGTGACAGAAAACCCATGCATTGGTGCTGTGGAATTCAAATCCTTGGTCAAAGCTGAACTGAAGATCAACATTTCAATAAGCATGGCTACAAGAGCTGTGAGGGGAATTCAAGAAAAAACAAAGGCATCATTTAAAGATCAGTTTAAGAGAATAAGGAATTACGCTGAAGAGTGTTTGAAGTCTATTCCTGGCAGCACTGTGGTAGTGAAGACTGAGAGGGTTGTGCCAGATGGTCCCTCTATATTCCAGAGAATTTATGTGTGTTTTGGGCCTGTAAAAAAGGGTTTTGGAGAAGGATGTAGAAAGTTAATTGGGGTGGATGGATGTTTTCTAAAAGGCCAGCTGAAGGGTGAAATTCTTACTGCCGTTGGAAGGGACGCAAACAATCAGATGTATCCCATTGCCTGGGCTGTTGTGGAAATTGAGAATAATTCGTCTTGGACCTGGTTTCTTGAGTTACTAAAGCAAGACCTCAATATTGAAGAACCTGAAGACTGGACTATTATCAGTGATCAACAAAAGGTTCATTTATATTTCTTTAATTTTATGATTCAGTTGAAAATAATTAATAATTATTTATTGTCCATATTGTACTGTTTTTTAACTTGTTTTTCCATATTATTTTCAGGGTCTAGCTAATGTGATTCAAGATGTATTTGGAGGGGTGGAACACAGAAACTGTGCAAGACACATACACGCAAATTGGAGCAAAAAACACAAGGGTTTGGTTTTGAAAAAGCTTTTCTGGAGGGTTGCTAAGTGTACATCTGAAGAAGAATTGCAGGTTACTTTAGACGAGTTGGACAAACAGGACACACAGGCTGGACATGACTTGCGCAAATACCCTATGAAGTTGTGGTGCAAAGCTTATTTCCGTACATCAGTGAAGTGTGACAGTGTGGACAATAATCTATGTGAGGCATTCAACAGCACTCTTCTTAGTTGCAGATCAAAGCCACTTATTCCAATGTTAGAAGAGATGAGGGTAGCAATGATGAAAAGGATTGCAAGAAAAAAGAAAGCAGTAGACAAATGGGCAGGTAGATCCCCAAGTCTATATTTTGTGTTGTTCATCTTTTTCTTAGTTATTGATTTAGGTTGAAGCAGTTTTAGATCACTTCTTTTATGTAATTTAATTTATTCAGAAAAATTATTCACATAGTTATCTTGAAATTTTAACCTAATGTTAAGTGGTATAATTCAGGAAACTTTGGTCCTCTAATCTTGAAGAAGCTGAATAAGAACATTGTAGCCAGTTCAGGGTGGCATGTTGACTTTAATGGAGATGATGGGTACGAGATTAAGAAGGGAAGACATCAATTTAAAGTCAAACTACAAGGAAGATCATGCTCTTGCAGAAGATGGGATGTATCAGGTATACCTTGTGCACATGCAGTATGTGCTATACTGGACCATGGTCAAAACCCTGAAGACTATTTGGAAAGGTGCTACTCTAAAGAAATGTTTGTCAAAACATACTCACATACCTTGCAGCCCATCAATGGTGAGATGTTTTGGCCCAGGTCAACAAATGATGAAGATATTCGAGCCCCATTGCCCAAGAAAATGAGTGGAAGGCCAAAAAAGAAAAGAATTCGTGAAGAAACAGAAGTTCCATCGGGAACTCAGCTCTCCAGAAAGGGAAGAATCATGTGTTGTTCAGTTTGCAAACAAGAAGGACATAACAGGTCATCATGTCCATCCAACACTCAACCTGCACAGAAAGGGCTGAAGAGGGGTCCACGTGGACCAAGGGCAAGGGGAAGAGGGAGGGGACAAGGCAGTGCATCAGTAACTGAGGATGGTGGAAGAGGGAGGAATACAACTGAAATGGGGTCAAGTGTGAGAGGAAGAGGAGGTATAAGAGGTAAAAATAGAAAAAGGCCAACTGAAAGAGGCTTTGGTATATATAATGATCCTGAAACTGGAACTACAATCCTTAATGTAAGTGATAATGCTTTATATAAACTGAAGTTCACACATGTAGAATGCTTATACTAGTAATGTGTTTATTTTTTTTTTCAGCCAGGACAACGGGGAGAAACAGTCTTGAGTGGTGATGGTGCTCCAGAGTGAGAAGATGAAGTCAAGGATGTGAAGACCATAATATATTAGTCTACTGCATATGTATTTAGGCCTACATTGTTGTACGTTTTGGAAGTTTGGATTACATAGTCCTAACTTGTGTAGTGTACTACTTCTGTGTAGGCCATTTTGAAGCCAACCTTTTGAAACAGAATATTGAATGTTGGTATGTTTTGGGATGTAAACTTTAAAACTTAATATTGTGTGTTTTGGAATGTTGTGCTTTGGTATGTACTGGAATTGGTAACTTAATCTTCTACCTACTAAGTCTTCATAAATTTCACAAGTTTGGTAGGTACATATGCCACTGAATATTCTGTTGTGCTTTTATATGGTTGAGAAGACAAGTGTGGTATGTTCTTTTGGTGAATAACATTTCCCTTTGAATTATGAATAAATCAGAGTATGATTTATGCTTCTAATTTTGAATAAAATACAATTCAGGTTGAATTGTTATCACAAACAATTAATCAAATGCTTTATCTGGTTTTCGTGTTGTTGGTGCTCAAATGATGTGGTCATTGGACATTGGTAACTTATCCATACCCTGTTAACTACAAAATGCATTGTCATGAAGTCTTGGGATAATGTTTATCTATGGAAAAGAATCAGTGACAGCTAAGGAAAACCATTTCTGTGACAATGCCACTTTTATTTCTTTGTTGGGACTGTTAAAAGAGTTCTGCAATTGGACATTTACATTCTACACATTTACATTTGGACAATTACATTGTAGTATTGTACACATTAACATTCACATTCTAGCCAAACATAGTAACCCAAAGATAACACATTACCATTGAAATACCAATACCAAAGTCAATAAACACTAGGCACACTGGGGTACTGTTAAGTGCCGTATTACATTTACCCAACCCCTACATACACACACAGGTGCTTCTGATATGGAAATACATCAAACCAACTACAACCAGTGTGAGAACTAAGCCAAATGAATACACTTTCCTAAAACATTTGGTTTTCTTCACTTCGTGTTCCAGTAGACCTCTAACATAAGCAACATCTGCTTGAAGAATACGTTGTTCACGCCCAGAATTTATTCCCTGAACATCATCTCTTCTGTGCAAAAAAGTTCCTTGGCCAAATAACTCGTTTTCAGCATCCACATCTTCCTTCCACAAAAAGAATCCGCAGCTTTGGTCCTAATCAATAAAACATCCAACAAGCCTTATTTAAGTCATTTTCAATTAAACAAGGGCTGAATTTCAGAGAAATACCTTCCATTTTTGACAGCCATAAAACATCCAGCCGCTCTCCCGTGATGTGCAAAGAGGCGCTTTTAACTGGCAAAAACAGTACACAGGTGGTTGGTAGTTGAGAGTTCGATTTCCATTCTTTCTTCCGACGGTGGCAGATGAAGCAGACATTCCGATGGGGAGCTCGAGCGACGAAGCGGAAAAGAAATGGGTGAACTCAGTTCAGGGAAAAGATGCAGATATAGGGTTCTTCATTGGGTTACCAAGTCAGCAAATCAGGTGGATTATTAGAGCCAGCTCAGTTGCCACGGAAGCATTTAACCGGCCAACCGGGGGTGTACCGGCTAAATTCATGTTTTGGAGTATTTTTTTAAGTTCGGGTGCTTGATTGGGTGATAATTAAGTACGTGTGCCTAATTGACGTTTTGCTAATAGTACGTGGGCCTATTTGACAGTTTTCTCTTTGAAATATAATTTTTGTATAATCCAGGCCAATTCAGCACTTCAGCTGAAACTTCATAAAATTCAAAAGAATCAACCAATTTCAGTGTTGCCAAACAAGCTCTTAACTTGAACTATTGAGTGTTTGAAATTGATTCTACTTCTACTTTTTTAAAAGTAGAAGTAGAATTAGAATAAATTTATCCGAAGTTGGTCTCACCTAACTTATTAAGAATGGATTACATGACCTTTTTAAAAGTAGAAGTAGAATTAGAATAAATATTATATAGGTATATCTACTTACTCCGTATAATAATAGGTATAATATTTATTATCATTTTTATTACTCCGTGTGATTTTTGGGGAGCAAGAAGTCAACAACTAGCAAAAGACCTTAATTAAACATTTTTTTTAATACTAACGTCGTAATATTATACTCCCTCCGTATTTAATGTTTGCTACACTTTCCTTTTTGGGATGTATTTAAAAGTTTGCTACCCATCCATTTTTGGTAAGTTTATCCTTTATAAAATACTCAACTACCCTTATTTTTTCTACTTTTTATCTTCTCTTTCATACTTTTACATATTCTCTCCTATTTTTTCTACACTATTCACTACCCCTACTGACTTCTTAAACAATGTGTCAAACCAAATGTAGTGAACATAAAATACGGAGGGAGCATGAATACATGTTAAAGAGTCAAAAAGCAAACAACTCTGGATGGTGTAATGGAATAGGCGCAGCAGTATTTCCCAGTAGCTACATATTTCCTCACTTGGGTTGGGTTTTGTCTCTTTTCCGGACTTGGACGGTTCAGTTTCCGGGCCGGGGCTGTACGGGCCACCGGGTATTTCCGGATTTCATCACATTGCGGGTTCGCCGATAACCGGACCAGATTGTGCTATGGGTCGCCCGGTCCCGGGTCAAACCGGCCGGTCCGGTCTAGTTCTTTAAACACAAACATAAATCACATAGTTTTATTTTTTAATGGGGGTTTTCCTTAATATTACTAAAAAGGCTAATTTTCAAAAATGTAACCACATTTACACTTGGACAAAAATGTGACTAAGATAATTGACAAAAATGTGACTAAGATAAAGTGACAATCAAATATTCATGTCATTGTCCAATTTTCATGTCACTGCCACCACCCCCGCCACCTGTACCACCGTCTGCCACCAACTTCGGCCATAGTGACACCTCCCCTGTGGCATCTTCATAGTGACATCTCCGCCTCAAACTCTAGCCACATTGACATCTCCATTGTCGGTCACCGCTGGCCACCTCAATAGTGACATCTCCGCAGTTACATATCCCTAGTGACACACAATCACTCTGGCCAAAGTTATTTCGACCACCACCAATCACCACCACCATCAATGCCTCTCCCGTCTCTCATACACCGCATTTCCACTACCCTCCCCATCCCAAAGCCCCAGCACTCGAAAACCCCCATCCCCACCCCGCAGCCCCTACCCCGCCAACCTGACCTACCCGAAACCACCTCCCAAGATTCAATCTGACCACCTGCACCAGTCCCCTGTTACAGTAACTATTGCCCAAGTCACCAGAGCCCTCTCCAGTGTGCCCCGCGTAGCAACCCTAGCCACGACCTGCAACAACAGTTCTGACAAAGACGACGGTGGATATGGCCGACAGTGACGACAGATCATGCCCAAAACGGCAATCCAACAGATCGGGGCTTAGATATTCGGTGTGGTTGAGTTTTAGACAGATGCGACGCAGACTTAACGTATTAACGAGCTCCCGTACCTGCGACAACCAAGCCTTCGTGGATGAAGAGGGCGTCGTCAACCTCCACATTGGCCGGACAGAAAGGGAAGAAACAGAAATCGGCACAGGGGAGAGCGACGATGACCGACGGAGCACGGAAATGGAGGCAGATGGAGGCCGCTAGAGGCGTGGTTGCAGGCTGTGAGGTCGATGATATACTCCCTCCGTCCCAAAAACAACTTCACAGTTTGACAATCACACAGATTAAGAAAATAAATTTGACTTTACTGTTAGGTGCACTATTTTGCACTGTTCAAACACTGTTTGACACTGTTTAAACATTGTTTGGCACTGTTTGACACTGTTTTGATGTAGAAAATTTGCCAAATAAGGAAAGTATTGAAGTGTGAGGTTAATTTAGGGACATCCATTTAAGGAATGCGGGAAGTTGTTTTTGGGACGGAGGGAGTATAAGCGAAGAAGATGGCCTCTGCGATCGATCGTTCCCACTTCCCAAATGCGTCAATCTCGATGGGGAGGAGAGATGTGTTAGTCACTTTATTGTAAAGTTTCAAAATGGTCATATATTTGTCTAAGGAAGCCTTATAGGTAATTATTGTGTCTTTTTTTCTTGTTTTTACACCTCTCACAATGTTTTTAAGAAAATAGGAGCAACCTTTAAAATTTATGAAGCTTACATCTATATTTTCCATTAAAAAATTAAGTGTATATCTTTTTCATCCTACCTAATATAATGACTTTAATTATTAATACTTTCTTGTTGAATATCACTGAGCCGAGCTCAGTGACGTGAGCTTGTAATAACCTTGTGGGGGCATTAAGATGAAGAGACTGTCGGAGCTGCCATGATTGGGTCTGAGCGGTAAAAATGGGCCGCTCCGAACCAATAGTGAATTGTCCACCCAAGTCATGCTAGAAAGCTTGCCTTGTATCCAAATACTAGCGCTTACTCGCGCAAAGCGCGAGAGTGATTGCCCAATATTAAAGTAATTTTTTTCATAAAGAACTATTACATGCACAATTATTATGAATGTTTTGTAAATAGTTATTGAGATATCTTACATATTTTAAAAATTGTTTGATCAATTATATTCCATGTCAACTATATATTTACTGTGTGGAAAATATGTCTATATGACTTTAAAGTATGCAATTATGCGATTCAGTTGTATTTTTTTCTGTTTTAACATATCATTTCATCCCACAAAAACTTGGTTAAGTTTGACTATTACATAGAATGATAAAGTAACAACTTTGTAATTAAAATTTGTTTAGTGAAGAGATAAATAATTTTAGCCACATATTTGTTACTTTAAATGGAAATGAGAGTGTGAAATAAGTATAAATGACGATAGGTTTCAAGGCTCTGGATACAATTTATAGGCTGATTAGCTTTTGAGCCTTGAATTAAATAGAGCTACTTGAACTTACACATCCATAAGAACATACAAAGATATATATTATATGAACAAAATGATCTACTTAAAGTGAACATGACATTGGGACAACTTAGTTATACATATATGCAGTCGTTTATTGTGGTTTGGTCATTGTGCTTAATGGCTAAGTTGAGCAAGGTAACCCATCTCAATACCAACTTTTGTCACTTTGATAACTTATAATCAATTTGCACAATTTACTCATGTTATCTAGCCTTGTATTACTTGTGGTGAACATTATGCATTTATTTTAATCTCTTCAAGGATACCTATAACCCTTTTATGTTATAAAATTTTAAGAGCTCGTTTGGTGATTATGATTTTCGTCTTATTAGCCTTATAGCCAACTTTCCACGAAACACATAACCTTTAATTTCACACAATGAATTGTGTAATAATTAAA